TGCCGCCCCTAAAAATGTGCCGCCCCAAGCACCAGCTTGTTTGGCTGGTGCCTAGAGCCGGCCCTGAAGGGGGGAAACGAAGGCATTTGGCACAATGTATTTGTTTGTTTTTGTTTATTCAAAGAAATAAATGTGAAAGGATTGAACTGGTGGGGGTTAGCCTCATTTGCCCCTCCCATGAGATGCCACGGGGGGCTATTCTGTCTCAGCAGACCCCGGTTTTAAATGATCTGTCTATGATACTTACATGGCCCCCATTTCTGTAGTGCCTCGCAATCTTTTAATGTGTTTATTCTCACAACACCCTCTAACACAGGGAAGTGCTATTATCCACATGTTTACTGATGTGGCACTAAGGCACCGTCAAGGGGGTTTAGGCTCTTAAGTGTCTAAATCCCTTTTGAAAATGAGATGTAGGCTCCTAAATCAGTTGGACATTGCATCACTAAACACAGCAACACCCAAATACCTGGGCCAGGGAGACTAAGCAGCTTGTCCAAGGTCACCCAGGAAGTCTGCAGCAGAGCAGAGAATTGAACACAGGGCTCCCATGTCCCAGCTTAACACCCTAACCACTGCACTGTCCTTGCTACAGAATAGTCACCACTTCCTAGACCGGTTCGGTGGGACTGGAACCTGTGACCTCAAAGCCCAACACTTTCCACTAAGCCACATTCAACCCAACACAATTTGCTTAAGAGACTTTGAACTCTGATAGGTAGCACCAAATTCTCCTCTCAAATGTACATGAATGATCTGGACTCTGACAGTTCACTCTCCCTAGAAGAGCAAATCATCACTGATATCAATACCACCCCCACCCCGCCCTGCACAGTTAATGTCAGATTCATTAGCATAGAATGAACATGATGTTGGAGTTAGATCAATCATGTGACTCCAAGAGGAGAATTCTATCCTAAATTTGTTTAGTATGGGCCTTAAAAAGAACTTAAAACAGCAGAGAAACATATTGTCTTCGTTTAGTAAATTAACAATAATTTTCTAAATGGTTTTATGCCATATTGTCAATGAAGCAAATTCATCCCTGGTGTACTGTTACACCACTGAAGTCAATGGAGTTACCCCAGTGATTAACTTATCCGTTATCTTCTTTCTGAAGATACCATGGTGCCTATATCTAGGGGGATATTGGCAAAAGTTTTAGTTAGAGCTGTGTTTTGCTGGGAAGTGCAGTACTTACAGCAGCTGCAGGCAGGGCAGATGCGCAAACATTCTGTCCTTTATTTCAGAAAAGGTTCCATTTACCAGGCTCCTGAGAGGAAAAAAACCAGGAAAATCCAACAACTAAATAAGGCTCATTATCATCACCTCCACTAGCAGCATCCCAATTTCCGCCCCATTGGTTGGCCTGGCCCCTTTTTATAATATCCCAGCAAATGGGGTCAATATTCATGTTTAAAGGGTGTTTAATTCTGCTCCTGTCCCTGTTTCTCCCCACTAAGCTTAGAAAGTTCCCTTTTCACCATATCCTCACATTACTCTTTAATACCATGTACTTTTAGCCTCTTGGCAACCTCTCTCCACGGGGTGGGGAGGATTGTTTTGTCCGCCCACTTGTATTTTTGGATTTTTATAGAGAAGAAAGAACAAAAGAGAGAGGGAGAAAGAAAAGAAAATTAGTATGTGTGTTAAACAGGATTAACAGTAAAAGCGCATGAGATTTAAAAGAGGTGCAAGTTAAAAACACCATCATTTCCAGTTCTACTCACATTAAAAATGCATCTAACTAACTCTCAAGTTCCTGAAGTCTGTGTAGTCTTTTCCCCAAGGTAATAATGCCATATAAGATAATTACCAGGGAGTAAATCTTTCTTTAAATCTATAGCACTTTAATATGGCCACTTGCCATCTCTTTAAGTCCGTAAGATTTACACATGGTAAGTACATATATACATACATGCATTTTCCTTCCCTTACATATCTGCTGTAGAAAGGGTGCAGTCAAGATTTCTCGTCTGAAAAGGTCTTTCAGATATAGAAATCCAACTCCTTTGCAGCTGCATGGCAGTGCAATATTTCAGCAGTGGAAAGCACAGACACACTCATAAAACTGCACATTACTAGGATCTTATCATCTGTCAAGAAGCCAGCATCCAGCAGGGAAACTAAAACCCCAACTTAAAGAAAAGAATTCCAAACCACAAAGGAGGAATGGGGTGAGGGGCACCCGGTCGCTGCCCAGGAAAACTCTGGTGTAGGAAGGTTTAACTTACAAGGAGCTGATGTCGCTGGGGATGATTCGCGGCACACCAGGGGATCCCACACAAATGATGGATTCTTTGGTGCAGCTGCATGTGGCAGGGCATCGGACTGGCTTTTTCACCTGGGCACGCTGCAGTAGGCATGCCACCGCCAGAACCAAGAGACAGAGAGAACCGCCGCTGCAGCCGCTGCTTCGTAGGAGAGCCATACCGTTCCCTCCTCCTCTTCCTCGTGGTCCCCTTTTGGCCCTGCACCCTTGGCCCGAGCACTGCTGCTGCTGCTGCTACTGCACAGGAGGCTGGAACAGGAGTAGAAGCCAGGCAGCATGCTGCACCCTTATGCTCAGGCTGAGTGTCTCTCTGCAGCAGAAGCAGCAGTAGCAGTACCAGGGCTGCTGCACTAGACTCCTTCCTCCTGACATCAGCACTTCAGCTGCAGCCTTTTCTATCCAATGAATAATTTATCAAAGGCTCCATTGCGAGGGAGAGTTTAAAAATAATCCCCCAAATAGCCAGGGCTCAAAGGACTGTTTCACTTTCCCCTCCCCCTCCCCTTGGTTTCTCCTTGAACACTAGAGAGGAGAGGAGGCAGCTGGGTGACCTTGCGGGGGGAGGGGGGTATAGCTGCCATACACATGACTAGGGCCAAATGTTCATTTCCTGTGCAAGAAGGGGTGCAAAGCATCCCAGGGCTGCTGCTCCCAGTGACCTGGGACAGAAGGGGGATTCCAGGCCTCACACATGTACTCATTTACACACAGCGTGTTAGCGCCTTTGTGCAGAAGTGGGGAGGGTTGGGGGGGAACAATGTTAGTTTAAATAATTTAAAGACACTGCCCCCGGCGCCCCTCCCCCCCATCACCATGTGGTGGAAACAGCATTTTAGGGGATTGGAAAACCCGTGACATTCTTTCATCATTTCCTCAATTCTTCTTCTTTGTAACACGTTTAGTGCTGACAAAGTTCTCAGTGCTGTGCAATGAACAGATCTGAAGGCAGACCCTGCCCCGAAGCCCTTACAGTCTACACACAGAAGACAGGGCACATCGGGATACTCAGAGATGGGAATAATTTAGAGGGTTATTTTTTCTCACTTCATAATTATCGCAAGCTCCTATTTGGTGGGCATAAGGGAAGAAGTGAATTTATGGGAGGATTAGGAGCAAGATGATAACAGGGAAAATCGGTGCACTAGGAAAGGCAGTGTGGGAAAGTGCACAGAGATAGGAATGGGAAAAGAAAACAGAGGGGGCATTAATGAACCATTGGGTAATACAATAGGAGACAAGGTCTGAGCTGCAGGGTAGGGCAGGTTTGTGCAAGGACTTGAGAGTGAGGAAAAGGAGTTTAAACTTGATTATAAGAGGCCTGTGGCAAAGCTGGGAACTCAATACAGATCCGATTTGAAGTCCACAATGCCATCCTTCCTCGCTATAGCACTAATATCTAGCCCTTCACCTTTTTCATCTGTATACCTCAAAAGAACTCCGTGAAGGAAGGAAAATACCATAACCCCATTCTACTGAGAGGGAAGGATAGAAAGGGGATGTCTTGCCTAAAGTTACTCAGTAGGTCAGTGGCAGAGCCACAAACAGAACCCAATAGGGTGACCAGACAGCAAGTGTGAAAAATCGGGACGGGGGTGGGGGGTAATAGGAGCCTATATAAGAAAAAGGCCCAAAAATCAGGACTATCCCTATAAAATTGGGACATCTGGTCACCCTAGATTAGAACCCAAATCCCTGACTCTCAGATAATTGCCTTGTCCCCTGGCCCACATTGCTCGCTATGATTTGTAAGGTGTCCATTCCCTTACTAACTAGGTGCCATACACGCAGTGTAGTTGTAGCCATGTAGGTCCCAGGATATTAGAGAGACAAGGTGTGTTTGGCTATATCTTTTATTGGGCCAAATTCTGCTGGTGAGAGAGACAATCTGTTCCATCTTGCATTTTGCTGTGATGCTGCAAGTTCCTTTCCCAGACCTAAAGAAGAGCTCTGTGTTGCTTGAAAGCTTGTTTCTCTCACCAACAGAAGTTGGTTCAATAAAATATATTACCTCCCCCACCTTGTATCTCTAGGTGCCATATACACAATGTTCTTAATCCTATTTTCATTAGAACCACTTTGTTAAGTGGGTTGTTCTTGCCCTGTTTTCAGGACAGATACTATGGATTGTTCTGCCACTACTATTGTTTAGGGAAGGCTTGTGCTAGTCCCAATACAGGGTAGTCTGCTTCTTAAAGGTGTAACCCTTCTGCCATGTAGAGTCATCAGGAACCAGGGTCGGGTTCAATATCTAGGGGTTCCTTTCCATTGATACAACACAGAAACGGCTCGAGCCCCCACCCAGTAACCTGGGGAAATTACACACCACCCTGTGGTGCCTCTGAGAGGCAATACTTCCCCACTCGCAAGCATAGAGTCTGAATGTAGAAAAGAAACTTTAAATAAAAGGAGGGAAGTAACTCTGAGTTAATTTGGGAAAACACCACAAACAGGATTCATAAACATAAACCATGAGTAAAAGACCCACCCCCAAGTAGGTTGGGCAATATCCTTTTCCCCTCAGGTTCTTAAGTCCAGCAACCCAAAAGTCCCTTTCACATGCCTGACCCTTCTCTGCACCCTACTCACAGTTGCTATCCTTGATCAGTGCAGACCCAAAGCTCAGAGGTGCATCTGCAGAGTTCACCTCCCCACCCCCAGGTGGAGTAAAAAGAGGCACCTTACTCACACCTTATTCGCTCCGCTGCTCGCTCGCCACTCCACTCCCTCGCCACCCCTGCTAGCCGCTCAAAGGCCACTCCTGCCTTGTCATGCCTCTCCACCAGCCGCCTTACTCAGCCACCGCCCTGCTCACCGTTCTTGCCGTGCCTCTCTGCCAGATGTTCACCAGGTGTCAGTCACTTTCTGCTGCCACTTGCCTCTCTGCTGTGACCTCTGCACATCAATCTCTTAGTAATTTTCAGCTCTTTGCAGGCTGGGAAGAAACACTGTCCCATCTCAAGTGATTTCAGCTCTCAGGGGTGGGGGTGGGGGGGAAACAGGTTAAACCAATCTAAGGAGGACCCTTGGGAAGGGTTTGCAGCCTCCTGACCAGAACATCTGTTCCCACCCCTCTTACTTTCACAGGGCCTGGCATTCAAGCCTCTGGCTTAACGAAGTTCCCTCAATTGAGGGTGACCCCCCTCATTTGGGATAGGTTCATCACAGTCCTGCTTCCCTGTATTCCCACAATGATTACAACATTGGTAACCATATTTCACTACCCCTGCATTCAGTACTAAGGTGATTTCTAACCCAACACCAGCCCAAAGTTGATCACTTTGACACCGCTCTATCTGCTGAATATGTAAGCAGAGCAGGAGCAAACTGTATTTACATAAACACACCCAAAGTCTCTCCCTCTCCCAGCTAGCTGTCAGGGAAGCATTCATTCAGACCCTGCATACAAAGGCATCCCCTGACTGCAATGGAGAAGAGCAGCAGTGAGGCACAGCTACTCCCTACTGGCAGGGGCTGGTCCTGATGCTGGTAGAAAAGGGGCGAGTGACAGCACACCACCACGCCAGTTTGGTTCCTGCCAGGAAATGAACCTCCCAGGCCTAGACCATTTCCTCCACAACCCACAGAGTGAGCAGACAAGTTGCCCCTCAAGACCCTGCAAATGTGAGCATTGAACAATGCAGGGAGTTGTGGTGCCATGAATCACAGGCTATGCACCCAGATAGCTGTATTGCTTGTCACAGCCAGATCTAGCCACAGTGAGGACATGGGGCATGACAGCCGTGCGCCGATATCAACAATTTGGTCCCACTGCGGTGGGTTAGGCTACTACACGCTGACTAATCTGCAATGGCTTAATCCTCGGTTAGCATGCAGTGAAGCCATACCCTTAGGGCATATCTACACTGCAACTGGGAGGTGTGATTGCAGCATGCATAGGCCTACCTGAGCTAGCTTTGACCGAGGTAGCTCGCTAAAAATAGCCGTGTAACCAAGGTAGCACAGGCGGCAAAGCAGGCTAGCCCCCTGCATACAATCCCATCCAGGACATACTCGGGTAGCTGCTGCCAGTGCCACTGCAGCTACACTGCTATTGTTAGCAAGCCAACTCAGTCAAAGCCAGCCCAGGTCTACCGACTGCAATCACACCTCAACTGCAGTGTAGACGTAGCCCTAGCGGCTTCCCTGACTAATCAGCTACCACCAGCAGTGGTGTTGAGTGATGAGAAGGCACAATTGCTCTCTCCCAGAAGTGCTGGTCCCAGTGGATGTTCTATCCACACAAATAACTGAGTCCCTGCCCTTAGAAGTTAACAGACTAAATGCATAAAGTGCAATAGAGTACAACAAAAACAAGCCCTGTTTAGGCAGCCACAGCAGTGTGTGGTCATTAAAGCTGGGACACAAAATAGTGTTACTTTCAAGAGCTTCTTTGCAATAGTCCACACTTTATTTTATGTACAGATTTTGCCCCTCTTCCAGTCTGTAGAGCACTTCAGTTCACTAAATACACCTCTTCTTGCCTTTGGAAATGGCAATTTGGTTTCAGTTCAAGGACAATGCTATTTAAGCAACAGCAGACAGAAGCTAAACAGTGAAGCTACTTTGTGTGCTGGACGGCACTTGAAGAGTTAATACTGTGTAGCTGTAGCATAGACTCCTTCAACATAGACGGAAGGGGTTTTTCCATCGCTGTAGATAATCCACCTCTCCGAGAGGTGATAGCTAGGTGGATGGAAGAGTTTAAAGCAAAGAATAATTTTGTAAGAAAGGCACCAGAGAGAAAAAGTTATAAACTGACTTACCAAAACAGCAGAACAGCTTCAAAATTGCTACAAACCAGAAAAAAATTAAAAATGCCACCATGAACTAAAATCACTGTGGAAAACCAGGTTTGCATTTTCTAAAAACTATTCGTCAGTTTGATCCTGTCCGAGCGTTTAACTGCTACCAGACCTTATGCCAGTGCTCGTTATTCCAGGATTTGATGCTGCCACGAGGTCTCAAATGTCTACAAATTCTATACAGGAATTTAATAAAACTGCAGTGGGAGATACACTGAAGTTCATCCACAGAGTTGAATATACTCCTTACTCCAAAGAGTTTACAATCCTCCAAGGCTTCAATTCTGCCACTTTTCATGATGAGTAGTATTGTACTTTGCAAGTAGCCCCTCTGCAATCTGGAGATGTGGAACAGAA